CTCTGGCATCTCTGGTCATCTCTGGTCATCTCTGGTCATCTCTGGGCATCTCTGGCCATCTCTGGTCATCTCTGGTCATCTCTGGTCATCTCTGGTCATCTCTGGTCATCTCTGGTCATCTCTGGCCATCTCTAGTCATCTCTGGTCATCTCTGGTCATCTCTGGCCATCTCTGGTCATCTCTGGTCATCTCTGGTCATCTCTGGCCATCTCTGGTCATCTCTGGTCATCTCTGGTCATCTCTGGCCATCTCTGGTCATCTCTGGCCATCTCTGGTCATCTCTGGTCATCTCTGGCCATCTCTGGTCATCTCTGGCCATCTCTGGTCATCTCTGGCCATCTCTGGCCATCTCTGGTCATCTCTGGTCATCTCTGGTCATCTCTGGTCATCTCGGGCGATCTCGGGTCATTCTACGCCGGTGCCTGTTCCTCACAGACAACGCGAATCGCAATCATATGCCACGGCCTCGGCCACGCGCCTCGCCCCGCCCCGGCGTTCCGTTCCCGTGCGTGAAATCGCCGCCCTGGCACCTGCGAGAGGAGACCGAGATGGCGCCGAGATGAGGCCGAGATGAGGTCGTGAGATCGCCGCCCTGGCACATGAAGCCGGGGATGATTCGGTGGAAGCGCGAGCCCTTGAGATGCAGCGGCCTATCGGTGAGCTCTCAACTCGCCGACCAAAGCCCCTCGTTGATAGCGCCCACGCGCGAGGGCGCAGCGGCCGGCCGCTCTTGCCGACGCCCTTCTCGCCGGTGCAGAGGGCGCGAAAGTTCTCGGAAGTCTTCGGGTAGACGGAGGCGAAGAGCTCAAGCACGACGCGCTGGGGGGCCTACGTGCACCACACCTCCAGAGTCGTCGAATCCAGCGTGGGCTCGGTCCCGTGGGTGGTGCGGTAGCAACGCGCGGCGCGCAAGCCTGAGATCTACGTTCGGTCTACGGACTGAATACGGCCGAATACAGCTGAGTCCGTGTCCGCTCGAGCGCTGGCTGGAGTCCAAGAGTGCCTCTTCCGCGTCTAGGCTGCGGCGCCTCCCCATATCTCCCCATATCTCCCCATATCTCCAGCACGTGGGCGAGGGTGATCTCCCCCATATCTCCCCATATCTCCCCATATCTCCCCCATATCTCCAGCACGCCTCCCCCCCGACCGAGACGTCGAGGAAGACGGCCGGGTTGGACGCGCTGCGAGCCTACGCTCGAGAGAGGCCGTGCTCGGTCGGTTGCGAGAGGGCTCCAAGAGGGCCGCGAGAGGGGCAGCGGGAAGGTGCGGGCCAGGTGCGGGCCTGCTCGGCACCTGTCTAGGGAGTAGCTAGGAAGTGTCTAGGAAGTGTCTAGGGCAAGGCCTGCTCGAGGGGGACGGTCGGCCGCGTGTCCTTCTTCCGAAGGAGGCCGAGCGCAGCCACGCCTGGAGCGGGAGACGGGACGGGTCCGAGAAGAGGAGCCAGCTCTAGGAAGTGTCTAGGAAGTGTCTAGGAAGTGTCTAGGAAGTGTCTAGGGACGGGTCCGAGAAGAGCCCGCCCTCCCTTTTTCCGACGGAGGCGCTGCGCCGCGCCGGCGTGGCCAAACGCGAGCGTGAGGGTGCCGTCGGGTCCGGAGTTTAGGGCTACGGCTACGGCGAGAGGGTCAGGACCGGCGTAGCCAAACGCGAGCGTGAGGATGCCGTAGGCGGCGGTCTGCAAAAAGGTCATCGGCGCCTCCTCGCTCACCGAGAGGAGCTCGAGCTCGAAGATGAGCACCGCGCTGGGAGGGATGCGCGGTGGCATGCCCGCCTCGCCGTACCCGAGCGAGGGAGGCAGGAAGAGCTGCCACTTGTCGCCGGGACGCATCATCTGCAGCGCCAGCGTCCAGCCGGGGACGACTTTGCTCGGCTTGAAGGTGGCCGGCCGGCCGCGCGCGTGCGACGAGTCGAAGATGCTGCCGTCGACCAGCCGGCCCTCGTAGTGGCACTCGCACAGCGAGTTTGCATTTGGACGCTCACCAGAGCTGCTGCCCGACTCGAGCACGCGGTACTGCAGCCCGGTCGGGAGCTCGACGAGGTCAGGGTGGCTGCGCTTGTTGTCCTCGAGCCAGTCGGCGCTGCTGCCGGCGGCGGCACGTGCGAGGAGGCCGACTAAGAGCGGCAGAGTACCTCGCATCGTCCGGTGGGGGGGGCGGTACCTAGGTAAGTTGCGCCGGGAATTCTTTTGAGCTTCTCTCGAGGTTCTCGAGGTGGATATCCTTTGGCCGCGTTGGGTAGCGAGGATTGGTGTAACCCGAGCCACGGAGGCGTGTTTTCTGACCGTCAGTGCACGGAGTTGCCCCTTCTCCGACTGCCCCGGCTAGTTCCCGAGGTCGTCGGGTGTGACCCCTTCGTCCCCCGAGACCTAGCGCGGGTGGGTTGGAGGGGCCTCAGAAAGGCGCGCAAGCATTTTTGAGCTTAGCCTTCGAGGTTATGAAACAACAAGGCGGACATGGCATATCGCTCTCGGGCCCACAGACATCCCGCACACTCGCCGCACACCCGCCGCCCCCGCGCGCGCCCCACCCCGGCCGGGAGAGAGGGGAGTGACAGTTTGGGTGGGATGGCAACAGCCCGAGTATGTTGAGTCCTGGCTCAACAACGCAGGAAACAAGAGGGGGTGGTTCGGCTCACAAGTCCGGCTCACGCGCCTCGAGCTGACCATCTACCGCACTGAGCACTTCCGCCCCCTCGCTCCCAACCCATCCACCTCGCCTCGGGCCGCGCCGCGCGATCTCGGGCGATCTCGCGCTATCTCGGGCGATCTCGGGGCCGCGCCGCGCTATCTCGGGCGATCTCGGAGCGTCGCTCGCGCGGCGTCACACCTGCTCAAAAAAGGAAGGGCCTGGTTGGAGCCACGGGGCTCACGAGGACGTGCTCGCTCGGTTCTCGCCGCCTCGCTCTGCGCCACTTGGGCCGGTGAGGCGGTGCCCCGCGCGGCGCGTCCCTCGCCCCGTCCACGCCGACCCCTGCGCGTACCGCTCATCTTCAGCCCTCTTGGGGTTACTCTTGCGCTCGCGCAGGGGAACCCGGCGGGACTCCCGTCCCCCCACCTCCGACGGGTTAGGTCGGTTCTGCGCCCCTTGGCGCCTGTGCATGTCCCGCGTGCCCGCCTGCCAAGGCTGGTGCCAAGGCCAATTCAACTGCCAAGGCTGGTGCCAGGGCCAAATCAACTGCCTGGCTGGTGCCAAGGCTCAAAGGCTCTCCTCTCTCTCTCTCCTCCCTCTCCACTCTCTGTCTCTCAACTTTCTCCCTCTCTCTCCCCTGAGACTCTCTCTGCTCGCTCCGCCCTCTCTCTCCCTCCCTCCCTCCCTCCCTCTCACCCCCCCCCCTCTTCTCTCCTCTCCCCCTCTCTCCTCTCTCCTCCTCTCTCCTCTCCTCTCCTCTCCTCTTCTCATCCTCTCCCCTCTCCTCCTCTCCTCTCTCCCCCCCTCTCTCCCCCAGCAGCTTCCTCGAGGCCGAACAGGTAGATCCTCCCTGATCGCTAAGCTACCACAGGGGACGGCCAGGTAGTAGACGTCGTCCGCCGCCGCCTCCGCCACCCGCGTGCCTCCGCCCCGCTCAGCAAAAAATCAGCATTATATCAGGAGGTGCCAAAGCAGCAGCATCTCCATGAGGTGAGCGTCGTGCGTTTTGCCGCCGCGCGCCGCCGCCGCGCCGACTGGCTCCCGGTTCGAATCGTCCTTCGCGGAGCGAACGCGGCGACACGGGCGCACGTCGCGCGCGTGCGCGCCCGCGACAAGACGAGACGAGACGAGAAGAGAAGGAGACGTTGATGTTTTTGCTGCCGCGGCCGCGCCGCGATCTCGCGTCTGCTTTGGCGCCGACGACGCGACGCGTCCCGCTGCGTGAGATGGCGCCGCCGCGGAGTCGGCGCCGCGATCAACCGCGCGCCAGCGGCGAGCGGCGCAGCGCGGCCACCATGCGGCGCGACGTGCCCGCCGATCTTATTTTTTGTTTTAATTCGAAATAACGCAGCCCACTCTTTCCTTTGCACCTGATGCTACAGAGGGCTGGCAGCGAGCTGACACGCGGGAGGGAGCCCATCGCACCACCAGGTGGAAGAGAAGTAGTGGGCTGGAAATAACGGCCGCAGTGCGCGCGCGCCCCGAGATTACAGTCTGTTTCGGGCATTAAGAAAACGTAGCATTAAGAAACCCTACCAAGCGATTTCCGCGAAAATCTAAGAAACCACGGCGAGCCGCAGACGCGCCGGCTGGCAAACGCCGCAGGCGCGCAGGCCTGCAGGCCCGCGTCAGTGCCGGGCTGCAGCCGCAGCCCAATACTACGCCTCCGCCCCCTCCGTCGCCTCCCCTTCCGCCTCGGCTGCCCCCGCCTCCACACCTCGCCCTCGACACACACTCACCCAAGTCCCTCCGTTGATACAGTCGGTTGGCGTCGACGACCACAAGGTGCCGCCCAACGAGACCGACCAGGTGCAGCCGATTGATCGCGGCATGGGGCGCCAGATCAAAGTCTACCTTGGGCAGCTGCTCGATGAGTGGCTCGACGACGAGAACAACCTCAAGAAGTGGGAGTCGAACACGCTGACGGCCTCGGACCGCCGCATCCTCCTCGCCCACTGGTTCTACAAGGCCTCCATGAAGGCGCTCCAGGGCGAGGCCAAGCGCAAGTACTTCGAGCACGCCGGCGCCCTGCTCACAGCCGACGGCACGGACGACGACCTGCTCATCAAGCTGGAGGGCGCCCCCGCCGGCTACAAGGTGGTGATCCCGCAGCTTACTTAATATTTTATTTTCTCACGGAAACACGCTCGGCCCGGCTGACCTGAGTGCCGGCCGGGGCTAAGAAACCACGGCGCGGGCTGGGGGAGGAGGGTGGAAAGGCTTAGAAACGGCGGCGTGGCGCCGGATCCTGTTTTCTTAATGCCCGAAACAGACTGTAGCCGAGGATCCGAGGGGGAACCCATTTCCCTCGCTCTTGTTTTGGATCTGCGAGCGCGGAGCGCGCGACGACGGCGGCAGCAGCGAGCGTCAGCAGCACAAAATCGGATGCGCATAAGGCATATATCGCATGTGCATGATCGCTCCATGGTGATCCACCAGCCAGTACGTATTTTGTCGTGCTTTTTACGGTTTTGGGGTGTCACACTTTCACACGGTAGCGGTGTGCTACTGCTCGAGGGCCGTGTGTGGTGTGCCAGCCCCTAGATGTGGTGCGGCGCAGAGTGCGCCGTTAAAAAGTGCGCCGTCGCCGCAGAGTGCGCCGGCGGCCGGCGCAGAGTGCGCCGGCGCCGGCGCAAAAGTGCGCCGGCGCCGGCGCAGAAGTGCGCCGTTTTCTCCACCGTTCCGGCGCACTCTGCGCCGCCGCACCACATAGCTCATAGGGGTTGGCACACCACATAGTGGTTGCCCCTTCCTATAACGCACGGGCCCTCAGCGGAGCTGGGAATAGGACCGCCGCAAGCGGCGTGGCGTGGAGCGGTTGCGCATCCCTCCGGGGGCCCCTCTGCGCCGGGGAGGCGTTGTTGGAGGCTAGGACGCAAGCGTCCGTCGCCCTTTTCAAACTCGGGGCCCACTCCGCTACGCTCCGACCCGAATTTGGAGGGCCTAAAAGTTTAAGGTGTTGCTGCGCAAAAGGGGTCGGACACAGGGGGGTGTACCGGTTCTGGCTTGTCAGGGCGCCGTGCGTGGCTGGTCAGAGCAGTCCTGCCTCCCAACGCTCGCCAGACTGCCGCAGCCAACCCGGTCTCGCTGAAAAGAAGAAAGTTTGGCCCAACGGAACTGGCGCGCACTGGCACTAACTCTGCCCAGAGCGGTGGTTGAAGCCGATTGCCTCAACTGTCAACCAGCGGGTTGACAGAGGTCTCAACCATCAACCAAGTGGTTGACAGACCCCTTCAACCTTCAACCCCGCGCAAAGGTCTGAACAGTGAACATTCTCTGTGAACACCCATGTCGTCTTCTTTAGATGCTGCATTTGACGTGCCGTTTTTACGAGTACTTGCTTCAGCTACACGTGCGTGGATCTGGATGGGAGAGGTGTGATGCCAAGCCCAGACGAGGAACGCTCTGACAAGCCATCCGCGAAGGCCCCCGCACGGGAAGTCCGGGCCGACGTCATGGTCGTCCGGACGCGGCCCTCCGTACACGGAAATAGCTTACCGCAGACATTTCCAAACGCAAAACTGCTTACCAAAGGCAGATACGAGCTCAGCTCAGTGAAATCTAGCAGCACATACCCTCAGACTCAGTATCCATAATAGTTAAGTCTAAAAAGTCGGTCCGACCGCGCAGAGCGGTCTGGCTGTGTCTGCAGAGGCCAGAGCTTCCGTCCGGGCCCTGAGAAATGTCGGAGGCATGTCGGCCCATGTTCGCGATTTTGATGGCGTTGCCCTCATTGCACGTGAAACAGACCGCGCCGGCCACGCACCCTTGTTCCCGGAGGCCAACTCGAACAGGTTTGAGCAAAGGCCGCCTTCCATGGACCATGCTCGAAATGCAGCACAGGAACTTAGTTGACCCTGCTCGAAGGCCGCCCTGCTCTAAGGCCGCCCTCCCTGCTCTCGGCATTGCGTTGTTGACTGATAGCACTGTCTGATCCATCCAGAAAGAGCCGTCGAGCTACATGAGACCCAAGTCGTCGTGATGTACCAGAAAACGAAACTAGCGCCAAAATTGAGATCTCAGGATCGACATTAATTTCAGATGGTTGGGCACTCGCTTGCTTTTTTTTCGCTCCAGTCCTGCGGATCTTCATCCTGCGGACCGGAGGGCTACGAAGCCTTTCACACTCCAAGGGGTTGATGGTTGGGGGGGGGCCTCAACCCTCAACCCTTCAACCACCCCTATGGGCAGAAGACAGTCGAGAAGCTCAATCACACACCCCAAGAGCCCATGGCCTTCTGAGGTGGGGGAGGGGGGCAGTCCCTTTGACGTATGTATCTCTGGGTTCTGTCTCTAGCGTCGGAGAAGAATATTCATTTTTTCATTGAGCTGTAGTCGTGAACAGACGCCGTCTTGGCCGGGTGTCCCGCCTGGGTTCGGACTTTTTGCGGGGTATGGTATGGTAGGGTCGTCGCCCTGGCGCCGCGACCAAACCCCCCCACCCGCACAGGACGTCGCCTCTGGCCAGCAGGACCATACCCCCCCACCCCCCACCCCACCACACGAGCGC